TCCATCTACCTACCCGGGTTGGGTCACAGAGCGCAAGAGAGTTCATTTTCTTCCACAAACTCCAAATTGTGGCTTGATGTCTCAAATCTAATCAATGGAAAGCCAAAAAAGCACTGTGCTGTTTTGCATTACACCAAAAGTTCTGCTTTATTCATACCATGGAGCAGAAGATGGACAATCATTCAAATTGGATGAAGACCCTAGAGCTAAAGGAAAGTATTTCATACTTGTGGTTAGGGTAAGGGAGTTATAAAGACCAGTTTCACTTAAAGAAAATTACACTGTTTTCATGGTAGATTTGGCAGTTCAATGGTTGAGTTTCAGTTACTTGTTACCTGGAAATACTTAACCACCTAAAGTCCAGGCAAATGTTTAATCTTTCACGCACACATGTTAAGATCTGCATTTTTATGCTAGAAAATTACTTAAAACCTCCAAAAAATTATATATTTTCGGGGGATTCCATACTTATTGCACGTTTTGCTGATTTATTGCAGCGGGAATTGGACAAAGCTACCACTAAACTGGCCTCCGACCTGCAACAAGACTTTCGGGAATTGGGTGATAGCCTCAAGAAAATTGAATCTAAAGTCAACGATACAGTCCACAGAGTGGCTCAAAACTCTAGCTTGATTGTCGACTTACAGGATCGCTTAGATGAAGATTACAATAAAATAGATGATCTTGAGAATGGTGTCAGGTGAGGTAATTTCAGAATTAGAGGGCTCCCTGAAACGGTAAAGGATATTGAACCCATTGCCCACTCTCTCATCCATGCAGCGCTTCCAACAATTGATGACATTCATTTGGAAATAGATCAAATCCACATGGCCTCGGTCCCTTTGCAGCCGGACGGCCCTCCTCGGGACATAATAGTGAAGCCTCATTTTTTCAGGGTCAAAGAGTCAGTGATGCGTTATGCTAGAAAACATCCAGATCTAGAAGTTGAGTGACACCAGATTCAAGTCTTCGCAGACATCTCTCAGGCTACCATCCAAAAGATCCAGCGGGATATTTACTATCGATGGAACTATCCGTTTTGTCTGCAATTTCTTTATCATGGCAAATCCTACTCCTTCTCTACGTTCTGTGAGGTGGAAAGACTTCTGTTGAATTTGGGTTTTATCTCCCTCTTAGTCCCTCCTCCCGGATTGTGTCTAAAACTAATGGACCCCCCCCATCACCTCTGTGGTCTCCGGCCTCCAGGAAGAAATCCACTGCTGCAACACCAGATCGGTTGCCTTGAAGTTTTGGTTTATTAATGTTTGTTAAATTCTAACGGAGGCCTCTCAGTGGCCCCGTTGTGGGGCATTGGCCCCTGTGTGTGCGCAACTGGTTTATGATTCTGGTTGATGTATTTTAGTGAAATGCTCTGGTCGCTTTAAAGATTTTACGGATGTTACATGTGGACCCTGGGGCACAAGGAAAAGTCTATACACACTCCCTATTTAAAAGATTCTCCCCATTGTTTGACTTTGTGAAGACTCTTTCAGTCCTTGACTGATATTGGTATTTTGTTATATTACGTTACATATTGGTAATCAATCTGTTCTTGGATGCGGGCCTTCCTTCGGCCTTGGCGTCCTTGGTTCCTCTCCTTTATCTTTTTTCCTTTTCCTAGCTTTTTATATTTTTCTTGTCTGAGGGTCAATCTGGGAATTTTGTCCTATCTTGGGATACTTGACATTCTATATGGATGGGTGGGTTTGTCTGATAGTGACCTCGCCACTTGCTTCCCATGTCTACCCAAAAACAATGCTCTGCCATTATCTGATTGCTCTCTCATAATGTCCAAGGGTTGGGCTCCCTTTCTAAGCAACTCATAAGTTTTTCTCCCATTATATGTCTCTGGGAGTCGATATAGTGGCCTTGCAGGAAACGCATTTTTCCTCTTCCTTTACTCCCAGATATATTCATAGAGATTTTCCGACTTGTTTTTTCGCTAATGCCTCCAAAAAAAAATAGAGGGGAGGCGTTCTACTTTTCTAAACGGCTATCCTTTACAAAAACTAAAGTTTTAAGGGATAGGAAGCAACGATACATCCTGGTGAAGGGTCATTTAGGGGGTAATATGGTGTCTTTTCTTATTTACTATGCCCCCAATATGAACCAGGTGACCTTTTTCCGTTCTCTTTTCAAGTCTCTGTTTAAAGAACTAGAGGGGGATGTGATTTTGGCAGGGGACTCCAATTTGGCTTTAGACCATATACTCGATAAATCCCATGTAATTAAACTTAAATCGCCTTCTAAACAAAGCCACAAGCTCACGTGGGACATAATTACTACCGTTACATAAATCCCCGGGCCCTGACGGCCTCCCAACCAGTACTACAAAACGTTTTGTGAACATTTACTTCCTCGTATGACACTGTACTTTAATTCATTGCGAGAGGAAGATGTGGTCCGTTTAGATGATAAGGCATATATTAATGTCATTCCTAAACCCAATAAAGATTCCACTGATGTTCATAATTATCGTCCTATTTCATTTAATTAATTGCGACCTGAAAATTGTAATGAGACTCCTAGCTGTGCGCCTTAATTCCTTTCTGGCACAATATATACATAAAGATCAGTCAGGATTTATATCGGGTCATCAAACGTTGGACCAGATTCGTAGATCTATTACCCTGATATCAGCTGCCCGTTCCAATTGGGATGCTCCTCTCTCTAGGGCTCTCTTACTTCTTTCTCTGGACCTTCATAAGGCCTTTGATAGTCTGACCTGGGAATATTTATTTACTACCCTGCAGGCATTTGGCTTTGGCCCGAAGTCTCTTGCTCTGTTACATTCGCTATATGCTAATCCCTTGGCCCAGGTCTCCATCAAAGGTTACAAATCCTCAGTGTTCCCTATCCGCAGAGGGGCTAGACAGGGCTGTCCACTTTCCCCTCTGCTTTTTGTGTTAGCAATTGAACCCTTGGCAATAGCAATTCGGTCTCATCCCCAAATCCATGGCATCTGTTGCGGCCAACAGGAACATAAATGTGCCCTATTTGCTGATGACGTTCTTATGTATATTACTTCTCCTTTGACAACTATTCCAAATTTATTATAATCATTACGCCAAATCTCCACTCTTACCGGGCTTTCCCTTAATCCCCGAAAAACATCTGCCATTAATGTTTCTTTACCCATATCTGATGAACAACTTCCTACGATTTTCAGTGGGTGAATAAATCTTTACACCCACTGAAAATCGTAGGAATTTGTTCATCAGATATGGGTAAAGAAACATTAATGGCAGATGTTTTTTCTGCCTCGATTACTATATTACTTCCGGACCTTACCGATAGTGATTCCGCAACAAGACTTACGCTTTCTACAAGCTGAGGTTCTTTGTTTTATTTGGAATAACAGACGGCCTCGGATGAACCAGAAGACGCTATATGCTTCTAGTTCGCGGGGTGGTATTGGCCTTCCTAATCTCCATGTGTACTTCCAAGCTGCACAGATCGCCCAACTAGCCACGGTTGGGGGACATACTCCCCATTGGGTTTCTGTAGAAGCTCTTTTCTGTCACCCATTGGCTATTGGGACATTACTTTGGCTTGCAAGTCCATTAAGTCATTCTATATTGTGCCCCACTTTGTCGCTCTCCTTGGCAGTTTGGGATAGGGTACGTTACTGTAAATCACTAGCTTCACCACATACGCATATTGATCCAATTTTTTGCAACCCTGAATTTGTGCCTGGATTAACACCGGCCCCTTTTCAGTAGTGGATCAATAAGGGCTTGTTGTGGATAGGAGATTATCGTAATGGTGCTTGTATACATTCTCCGCAAACCTTTAAGACAAGTTACATATGCCTACTACTGAAATCTTTCAATACAACCAGATTGTCTAATTTCTCTGCTCAAAGCTCGCTTTATTGGACGAGTCACTTTTGCTCATCACCTTTGAACTCTCTTGTAGGAATAGGGATACCCCAAGAGGCTGGGTCTCTGCAATATATGCTCTCCTAACTGACCCAAATTGTGAACTCCCTTACATGGAACACTGGGAAAAAGATTTAACTGTCAATTATGAATTATCAGATTGGCAAGATATCACCTTGACATTGTCCAAAATTTCTATCAATACTACTTTAATTGAAGCTAATTATAAAACTTTGTTGAGATGGTATCTGGCACCCACCCAGATTGCAAAGATGCATCCATCTACCTCTGCGATGTGTTTTTGGCGTTGTGGCCAGGTTGGGTCAATGTTTCACACTGGGTGGCAGTGCCCACTTGTAACTAGATTTTGGATTTGAATGTTCAACTTGGTAAACTCAGTGACGGGTATAAATATTCCCAGATCCCCGGAGACAGTGCTCTTTCACAAATTTCCAGATAATCTTCCCAAGAAATCACATAAATTGATTTCCTATATGTTTCTGGCAGCGAGAATTACTATAACTAGACACTGGAGGCAATCGGTCACTCCACTTGATTATGTTAAAAAAGAAACTTAATTGGATCATGATTAATGACAAACTCACCTGTATCCTACACAATAACTCGAAGAAATTCGATAACACATGGAACCCGTGGATCCACTACCTCTCTGTGCCTTAACGACCCTCATCTGGATTTTCCTTTCAACTCTTTCATTTGTTCTTTTTACTATTTTTGTATTGCTCTACTTTGTATATTCTGTGCTGGCAAGGTGAGATATACTTGACCTTGAATTGGTCACGATTTATGTCTTGTCTTAACTGCCAATTGTTGCGCCAGAATTTGTTGTTTTTGTATTTCTTTCAGTACATATGATGGAACATTGTTCATTGATATTGCTTGTTTTACTTATGTTTTTTTTTCCTTTGTAAAACTATTCAATAAAAACCATTGAAAAGTAAAATAGTGGTTATGGAGCAGTGAATGCCACACAGCGAAGTTCAAACTCAAGCTCTGGATTAAAAAAGAAAGGCTTTTATTGGCTATAATATAGCGTTAGGCCAAATGTCAGAGCACAGTGAAATACATACAGTTCCATGATCGAAAGCTGTGTCTTACCTGGTATTGTTGCCCAGTACAAAGAATGAGATGGTCATAAGGCACTTTTCTGTCATTGGAAACAATCACAAACTTGGCAGCTCTGTCTATGCCAGTCATTTTACCAACCACAACATTAACCCAGGATCGAAGTGACATCAGTGCGTAATCTTTATCATTATAACAGTGGCTGGGAAGAGAGAAAAGCCGTAAATGACATTTTAGCAGCTGACAGCAGGCATTAATTAGACATCTGCTGATATAGTGAAGGGCCTCTAGTGGCTTAAGCCTGTTGTCTTCACTGAGTGTTCCAAAAGCCTATAGCAAGAGCTTGTTCATAATTCCACTCTGTGTGGAATAACTGACAGCCATGAAATAAACCAGTCAATATCTCAAATAAGCACACATGCAGAAATTGTTCCTATTCCTACTGATTTCTGATGGCTTTCATAGAAACAGAAAACCCTTTAGCTGTTACATTCTATCACTGATTTTACACAAATGCTGACAAGTGCACAAATTTTGTTCTGCTAAGAAATTAGTTTGGCCTAATCTCAATGGCTTCCCATAAACTATTTTAGGGATAGTGTCCATGGGATTCTGGAATCAGTTAAGGTCACAGCGTGTACTTTCTCCTGTAGCCTATGATGAGCTCCTCAGTGAAGAGAGATTAAGACACCTGTCAGGTTTTTATTGCTGTCCATGTACCCGTTAGGCCGGGGTTTACACCAGTGCAGTTTACTTTTGATCCATTTTTGCAGTGCTTTGTGCATTTCGTGTTTTTGACGCGTTTTGAATTTTTTTCAGCATTTTATTTGTTTTTTTTTTTACACCCCGATTGATATTGGAAGGACTTTACATATTATATTATACCGATTGCACTGATATATATTCATTTTCATATTTATTACATATTCACTATATTTGTTTTATGCACTGCACTTCATGTTCATAGTTTGCCTATTGAGATTCATTGTCACTTTCTCTGGTGCTAGCTGCTTTTATTTCAGTGCTCACTTTTTTGATTTTTGCTTGGATATGTCCATTAAAATATGCTATCACCAAGTAAGTATTTGATATTTTACACAGTAGAGTAGGGACTAGTCAGAGAGGGATCACTTTGACACTGTTGACTAGCTTGAATATCTATTGCAATATAAGAATCCCTGGATTTTATGTAAAACCAGACACCTCTCCATTTGTAATGAGTCCCTGGTCTACTTAATTTCATACTTACCTGCTGGATAAAAATTCTGTGTTGGTATAAGTGCCAGAGGAGTTGTTTCCAGGAAGGCCATGGGTGGAAATCAGGGTGATATTGTTGAACTTGAGATGTGGGCTAAAAAAACAAAACTTGCAATTAATTAACTAATATCATTAGCAAATGGTAATACCATTGAAAGTGAACCTGTTTCTAGACTTGAGTTAAATACTGATAGCTGTTTTAGCTCCACAGTTTATTATTTGAATCTCTACACTGGTCATTTCTGTGATTCACATTTAACTATGGACCCTTGTTATATCCAATGTATAGCTCTGATATGTGCCATGTACGTAATCTGATACATTCTTGTATGGCAAAAAAAATGTTTAAAAGAAAAAAAAAAAAAAAAATAAACAAACCTAAGCAATTTAAAATATATATGATGAAAAAAATATGCAATTACAGGTTACCTTTAGTACAAACTGCATATCAAAATGATTAGTAAATTCATATGGGCAGCTAAAGTGATTAAAGTGATAATGAAATCTTGAAGTTTAGGGATGTTCAGAGCGGGGGTTGGGTCAAGTTTGAATTTTACATGAAAAGTCAATACTTATATATGCATATAACTCCAGCTACTCTTATCTTTAGATCTACTGATCATTTTAATACACAGTTTTCAATGACAGCCTTTGCTTCTGCATTTATTCATGCTTAGATTTAACTGGCCATTATTGTAACAGTTCTATAATCATTAACAGTAATCACCATACATTAATTGTTTATGTATATATATATATATATATATATATATATATATATATATATATATATATATACACACACACTATATTGCCTTTGGGACATCTGCCTTTAAACGCACATGAACTTTAATGGCATCCCCGTCTTAGTCCGTAGGGTTCAATATTGAGTTGGCCCACCCTTTGCATCTATAACAGCTTCAACTCTTCTGGGAAGGCTGTCCACAAGGTTTAGGAGTGTCTATGGGAATGTTTGACCATTTTTCCAAAAGCGCATTTGTGAGGTCAGGGACTGATGTCAGACAACAAGGCCTGGCTTACAATCTCCACACTAATTCATCCCAAAGATGTTCTATCGGGTTGAGGTCAGGACTCCTTAAGAGTTCCATTCACTGGAACTAAGGGGCCAATCTCAACACATGAAAAACAACCCCACATCATAATCCCCCCTTCCACCAAACTGCACACTTGGTGCAATGCAGTCAGGCAAGTACCATTCTCCTGGCAACCACCAAACCCAGACACGTCCATCAGATTGCCAGACAGAGAAGCATGATTCGTCACTCCAGAGAAAACATCTGAATCCAGTGGCGGCGTGCTTTACACCACTGTATCCACCGCTTTGCATTGCACTTGGTGGTATAAGGCTGCAGCTGCTCGGCCATAGAAACCCATTCCAAGAAACTCTCTATGCACTGTTGTTGTGCTAATCTGAAGACCACACGAAGTTTAGAAGTGTTTAGCTATTGACTCTGCAGACAGTTGGCCACTTCTGCGCACTGTAGGCTTCAGCATGCGCTGACCCTGCTCTGTCATTTTACGTGGCTGTGTTGCTGTTCCCAGTTGCTTCCAATTTGTTATAATACCACTAACACTTGACCGTGGAATATGTAGCAGCAGGGACATTTCACAGATGGACTTATTGCACAGGTGGCAACCTATCACAGTACCATGCTTGAATTCACTGAGCTCCTGAGAGCTCCATTATTTCACAAATGTTTGTAGAAGCAGTCTGCATGCCTAGGTGCTTGATTTTATACACCTGTGGCCACGGAGGTGATCAATGAATCCAATAATTTGGAGGGGTGTACCAATACTTTTGGCAATATAATGTACACACACACATATATATATATATTTTTTTTTCTTTTCTGAGGCATTAGCTCAGTGGCGGGTTGTGCTTGACTCCCTGGAGGAGTCTTGGCACGGTGAAAAAGGTATAGCAAGACAGCAGGATCTTGGTGAACTACAATTGTGGAGTGCAGGTATCAAAACAGCCAAATAAACAAAAACAGAAAATAAACTCTTGTCACATTGGGCATCTAACTGCAAACACAGGAATCCAACTATTTGTCCTGAAATAGCCTACTGTAGCCCAGACACTTGGCTTTTACAAAGAAAATTACAATATTTACAAACAGGCTCACCACAAGGCACAAAAAGGAAAAAAATGTCTGTATTGCTTAAACCTGGGGCAAATATATCTTCCATCCTGGATAAAACCCATAGTTTTTCTGGCTGCCTATCACAATACATATAAATATATATATATATAAACACACACACTATATTGCCAAAAGTATTGGGACACCAATAACAGCTGCAGCTCTTCTGGGAAGGCTGTCCACAAGGTTTAGTACAGAAAAACAGGGACATAAACAATGCAACAAGTGAAGTAAACAGAAAAGGACATCGTATTACATCCTCATGAAAATCTGAGAAATCAAGGGTAGTATGATGCTTTGGTTCAATATTAGAAAGAAGTGACACTTGACCCCATTTGACCTTTCTTTCAAAGATAAATTCTACCCACAACTGGTAGCTGTCACCACCTGGGTTTTTATGATATTTAGAGACCCTACAATGGAGACCATATTTCCCTATGATCCTCCCCTATATGCAAAGCATGTTGATCAAGGATTTTTAAGAGCTAAATAACCCAGTAAAGAATGATTAAAGTGGTGTACAACTATACAGATCCAGACCTGTAACATTGCCAGGTGCCATTGAAAAACATGCAGGAGACACACAATATCCCCCTTTAAAGTGTTTCACTTGAGTTGGTACTTACTTGATTAAGCACCAAATCTGCACAGGATCATATAGAGCTGCACCAGGTTTTGCACTACTCAGTTTTAGTAAATCAACCCATATGATTTATAAAATACATATATGTGAACAAACACATAGAAAAAATAAAATATTGGGATTACATACACTTCAGGGAAACCTGTCAAACACATAGGCTGCCAGTGTTGACCTCTCCTTTTAGGATGGCAGTAACTTGGCTGCTGTGCTGATACTTTTGGCTTTAATACTAACCCTGAAAATAGAAGAAATTTTGACTTTTTGCTACATCTCACCTGCTTCATGATTGTTTTGGATCAGTGACTAAAGAGAATTAGGATAAAACATCATCAAGAAACTATCACAATGCATATACACTAGTCAGTGTTAGAGTGAGATGCAAGTAGTGCAATACAGGTTCAAGTAGTACAACACAGGTGTGTATATATATAGCATATACATACATACACACACTATATACAGATTACAAATTAATGTCACATCCACTAGCAATCTACAGGGTTTGAATTCTACTTATTTATTTTTTAATTTCTGTGTAATGTTTTTTTTACTACTAATAATAATTTATTAGATATAATATTATAAGTATTTTGAATCATAATTTCTATAGCTTTCTGAGAGTTATCGCATTTGAAAAAGTGTGTAAGCACACCAAGATACCTTTGTGGAAATTATACATTTATACCCAAATACAGCACAGCTACCATTTCTGGCCTCCTTCAGAAAATGATAGTTCCTTGACGATGTTTGATCCTAATTCTCTTTAGTCACTGATGAAGCATGGAGTAAGTAAGATGTAGAAAAAAGTCAAAATTTCTTATTTCTATTTCCAGGTCAGGTTAGTATAAAAGCCAAACGTATAAGCATAGCAGCTGGGTTACTACCAGGGGTGGACTGACCATTTGGAAACTGGGGCACTGCCCGAGGGCCCGGGGTCAGTAGGGGGCCCCATGAGATGCCCCTGGTACCTTTTTCATAGGCTTTTTTGAGTTTGGGCAAGGATACAGGGGCCCCATGATCCCCTATTGCCCGGGGCACCATGAGTTGTCAGTCCGCCCCTGGTTACTACCATTCTAAAAGGAGAGATCAACACTGGCAGCCTATGTGTTTGACAGGTTTCCGTAAAGTGTAAACATAATATTTAGTTTTATAAATCATAGGGGTTGATTTACTAAAACAGAATAGTGCAAAACCTGGTGCAGCTCTGCATGTTCCTGTGCAGATCTGGGGCTTAATCAATTAAGTGGGATTAATAGGAGGCATGGAGGAGCTCAGCTATGAGGAAAGATTAGAGGAACTGAAGTTATTCTCTATTGAGAAGAGGAGATTAAGGGGCGATATGATCAACATGTATAAATACATCAGTGGTTCATATAGTGAATTCGGTGTAGAGTTATTCACCCTGAGGTCATCACAGAGGACAAGGGGGCACTCTTTACGTCTGGAGGAAAAGAAATTTAATCTCCAAACACGGAAAGGTTTCTTCACAGAAAGAGCTGTGAAAATGTGGAATAAACTCCCTCAAGAGTTGGTTCTGGCCAGCTCAGTGGATTGCTTTAAAAAAGGCCTGGATTCTTTCTTATATACACAGAATATAACTGGATACTAACATTTATAGGTAAAGTGGATCCAGGGAATATCCGATTGCCTCTCGGGGGATCAGGAAGGAATTTTTTTCCCTGCAGGAGCAAATTGGATCATGCTTTGCTGTTTTTTTTTGCCTTCCTCTGGATCAACTGTGGGTATAGGATTATAACTTTTTTTTTTAATGGTTGAACAGGATAGACTTTTGTATTTTTTCAGCCAGGCTAACTATGTAAGTTCCAAATCAAATGAAACGTGTTAAAGAGGGTTCTCCCATGAGCGGAGCCCAGGCTGATGCTATTTTAATATACTTGCGACTGGTGGCATGCATTGAGGTGACATTTTGTTGGAGACGGGAGAGTGAGCTTGACAAGCCTTATCAAGCCAAACCAGCACCTGGCAGCCAGGGGTTGAGCTGATCAGAGTGGCACACTGGGGCATGTTGAGTGGTACTGTCTTGTTTTGTTGTGAAAGGATCAAGCATTGTATGGTTCCCCCACTTCCAGTTTTAGTCACAATCAGGGATAAGCTCAAGTGCATTCAGATCCTGGTTCAAACCATGAGTAATCTCACCAGAAAGCTGTCACCTGTACTGTGTCAATCATAAGAATCCAAAGCATTGGTGTGATTGGCCAAGTACAGTGACAGATTCCCACTGGCATCGCTCAGGGTAGTTCAGACTAGGATCTTACCACACCTAAGCTCATCCCTAGTAACAATTAGGAGAAGACACAGTGTACCGAAT